TCCAAATCCATTTTGTTTCAAAGATGAAATTAAAAAATAACTTGGAAGCAGCATTTGGGAACACTGAACCAAGAAAAGTGAATAGATTCATTCACCTAGGTTAAATTTTCATGAAGGTCACGAAAGCCTCTTGCACTCGGCTGCAGTTACATGTCTACATAGTTCTAAAATGTAACAAAGCCTGTTGCCTGAAGCTTGGATGAGATGTGCTTCATAGAGGAACTGTGGAATAATGTATGTTTTTGAGTATTAAGGATATACATTGTCTTAGTAGGTTACAAAGGTAAACACAACTTACCCTCTGGCTTCTTACAATTTTCTGAAACACTGGTCCTGTCAACATATCTCTTAACCCAGTTGTGTTCTTTATAAGGATACAGCTTCCCTAAGAGATGCACAGGTGTGTGTGCGCACACTGGTTCAAGCAAAACTTGACATAGTAAAATACAGCTTGTTTTCTTGATGAAGGATGAGAACTAGTTTATTGTAACTTCCAACTTTACAGTACAAATGATCATTTTCTTTTTAGAACTGAAGATCTGGTTTTAGGTGTTATGCTTGTAGATGAGCTGCTTGGGTGCGAGAGGTTTAGAGAGAAGGGGAGATGTCTCATACTTTATTTGTGCTGTATGGACAGTTTTACGAAGTCTTACATTTTCCTGTTTCTTCTTCTCACCTGCTGCTTTGCTGCATGCTTCTCCACTCTGCTGAAAGGGGAAATTGCTACAGTATAACCCAGTTTTGAGGGATTATCAGGTGTTTCACTGCTGAACATGTATCTCTGGTAAAGCAGGGGCTCTGAGTTTAGCATGATGAAAGCTAATTTTCCCTGACTACTTTGTCAGTACTCTGCCTGCTTCTCACACATGCAGCTGGGGTTGCTCTGGGAGAATCAATGTGTTTGTTTGCACTTGGATGAGGGAGCTGGCCAGCTGCAAGCTTCAGGTGATAGCAGGAGCTCTCCTTTGAGGGCCTTCCCCCTTGCTCTGGGTGTACTCCGTGAAAGACCGAGGCCTTGTGAAAGCTAGTTGTCTAAGTCTGGTGAGCTGGTCAATGGATGGGTGGGAGGTGTTCACAGATGCCAGTGAAGGGTTAGTCCGCATATGCAGAACCTATAGGGTCAAGCTGTTGCCCAGTTGTGCCATTTGCATTCATATCTGGATGACGGAGTGGTCTGGACAAGCTGCTGACTCCTTCTGAGTCTTCACATATCCTGTGGTGTAAGGGCTGATTTCTGAGAAGCCACATTTGTCAGCTTCATGCCGATAGCCCACCAGCTTAGCCAGGAGGAAATGGATGACAGAGCAAGCTGCCTGCACCATACAGCAACGGGTCAAAGTAACTGGCTGCTTCATATTAGTTTCTAAAGCTGCTAAATGGCTCGTGAAGCCCATGGCCATGCCTGTGTTTTCCCTGGGCTTTTCCCAGGGATGAGTTTCTGTAGGGCAGCTGTGCGGGGAGCTGGGCAGGGCAGGCGAGAAGGGGCCAGCGTGGGGCTGCTCTCTCTAGCTCAGCTACTGACACTTCCTGGAGCGGGGAAATGTGGTTGGGTTTCTTGGACCGCATCTCCTCCCCTTGCTGCTATTCTCACAAGTATTTCACAGACTCTCAAGTGTGGCCTGAGATAGCCTTCATTTAAAGGGGAACAGAAGGGGCCTCCAGTCAAGGCAGAGCCGTTTATAACCATGAGCTGTTGGCCTGCAGCAGCTGCTCATGGAGAAGCTCAATTCAGGTATTCACTTAACTTTCTAATGAGTCTGTTGATCTCCTCAGTGATGACCTCTTTAGTCTGGGTATCATACAATGATGTAATTGCAGAATCTGTATATACAAATAGATTGTCATCACTCAAGTATCTTACTGAGTGGGAAGCCTGATCTAACAACATGTCCCTTTAGAGCATGGATATTATCGAATGTAATGGGATGGTTTCTACTTCTAGTGTTTGCATGTTCACAAGTCAGTAGCATGTGACTGGAACTTGCAAGATGACCACAGCATCACTAAACTGCTTATGTAAGAAATTGGTAATTTTTAATTTCAGAATTTTCTGACTGAAAAAACAGAAGAATAATTCATACCCGAAACTCCGAGTGCCAGTTTCGTCAGCTGTTAATCCTGTTACTGATTAACACTGCTTGCTTCTTCCTGTATTACCTAACAGCTCTGTTCTTACATATGACCTCTGGGCAGTCAACTCTGTTACAAGTATGCAGAAGTGCATGACAGGATCAGGCAATGCCAGAACTTCTTAAAAATTCAGGTTATTCTTAATCTGCTAATTTGTTTCTAGTGTCAAATAACATCAGTAAAGCAGAGAGACTGGGGACCTTGCTCTCTCCTTTCTCCTCTCTTATCCTTGCTTACTGTAGATGTTGTATCTGAGATCCACAGCTTTGGGTTTCATTTTCGTCTGAATGCTTTCATTTTCCTCTGAAATGGACCATCTGTTGGGTCAGTGAGATACGGATTACCACGCTAATGGTTCCATGTTGAGGTGGGGATAATATCCTCCCTCAGTATCAGGATGCTGGCAAGTGTCAGTTTGTGCACATGTTGCAGGAACATTAATGCTTTGCTGTAATTTGGTCATCAGTGGCTCTCTTCTCTACGGTGAGCTTAGTCTTTCTGATTGAGTCATGTTGGAAATAATCAACAGAGATTACAGAGACACTATTTAGTAACAGTTGCCTCTTCTCCTCCTCAAAAGACATGGTGTCTTGCTCTGCATGTGCCAAACACCTGATGTGATAGCTATCATGGAGGGATGTGAGACCAGTGTGTTATTTCTCCTGTGCAGTTGGGCAGCCTGGCATTCCCAGGTGGGAGTAATCTACTCTTCCCTAAGAGAAGGGTTCCCAAAACTGTGGTCTGGTTCTTGCAGCCGATGACTTAGGACAGTATCAATTAAAATACTGAGTTAAGGAATTAAAAAGCTCAGTCCATTTTCTGTAATACTTAGTACCACTGTCTGAAAATCCAGAAGACCTCTTTCAGTATATATTTTTGTGTCAGTGTAGTTTTAGTCAAATCTGCACATTTGTGTTGGTGCAGTGTTAAAATCTATTAGCTAAATTACATGTACTAAGTTAGTTTAATTTCATTACATGTTAGTTTAATTTAATTTAATTACATGTTCTAAGTTAGTTTAAAAAATGTCGATGTTGATGGTGATGATTTACTTGACCTTTAAAGAAAAAAGCTGCAGATTTTTTGGCTCCACTCTTTCTACAGCAAACATTAAAGCAGGAATCTACTTATGTGAGTAGGCTTACTTGACATGTGGCATGATTCACATAATTAATTAAGCATATGCGCGCCACTATTTGTAACAAATACTTCAGCTGAATGATTAGCTAAAATTTTGTGGCTTAAACTGTCTCCTGAAAGCAAAGTTGCATTCATATAATTAATAAAATCCCATTTAAGTGTATAGAAAATATTTTTTAAAAAATGTGCATGACAAAAAATTTCAAATATTCTAAGTTTAAGTCTTTAATAACAATAAATAATAATAATAATAATAATGAAGTCTAGATTTAAATTTCTGACTGTCTTCCACCTTCACTGTTTGAAACTAGCAGGACATTAACTCCTAATAGAAGCCCGCATTAATAACTTTGGCTCTCTTGATTTGTGGAAACTTGAGGTACCCAGAGGTTGGGGGATTCTGAGTAAAATCTAGAACGTTGGCAGCTTCGCTGTATGGATGCCACAGGTTAGACAGTGCAGTTGGTCAGCTTATGTCTTTCTTGTCAGGACTGAGCATTTTGAACAGAACATTTCATACTAAGGTAAAAACTCTGCCAGCCCAAATCTGGTATTTTATCTAGTAAATAACTTATACTGCTCTTTATAAATGTGTTTTACAATAAGTAGTAAATAACAAATAACTTCCAAAATGTTGTCTTAAGTCCTTGACTGCTCTGCAGTTTTCTAAGGTTTGGAAAATTTTGGCCATGGGAGACAGTTTTAAGAATTCATGCTAGTCTGACAATGGGAAGTCATTGACTTTTGGGAGATAGGGGCAAAAAGGTGTGAATCACGTGAATCAAGAGGGAGAACCTAGATACGAAAGTGTTCTCTGAGTAGATACAAAATTGTCTGTTGTTTCCTTTCTCTATTTGGGGAAAGTATTTCCTGGCAGGGGTAGAAGACCTGTAATCTATTTTAATTCTTGCTAGGTTTGTTTGCACCCAGTGATATCAATTCAGTTTGCTCTTCTGTCAATATCCATGCTGTTACTGGGAAACAGGAATGAGAACATTTTTTTGTACAAGCACATTGTTTTGCAGACACAGATTGTAAATTTACTTCTACTCTTGGGTATGTTTGGGTAGAGTATTGTTATTCTTCAATGCAAAGGCTCCAGTATGCCTCAATTTCACTCATGTATAGATACAGGAGTTTATAGGTCTTGCTTGAGGAACAGGATCTCTTCAGACTACTGCCCCATGTTGTATTTTGTTGACACAATAATGAATTTGGGAGGTAGAGTAAGCAACATAAGCAGGATCCAGAAAACTAAAGATACTACTGAAATGAAAGAAAGGTTGGTTTTCTTAATTTACTTTAGGAGAGGAAGACTGAAGGCTGCTGCCCATGCTACAATGTACGCAGAGTGCAGCTGGAGTCAGATGAGTCCAGTTGCCACTAATTCTTATATTAGACATTAACGTACAAATTTTCCTCTCTAACATGATAAGGGACTAGCCATCTCAGCAGAGTGGCATTGCTGTTTATTTCATAAACATGTTTAGTGCTACTCCAGCACTTTTGTGTCTTTGTGAATGTTTCCCAGCAATCCTTGTAGGGGAAAAGAAAAGGAAGCTCTGTAGTTTCTCTTTCTTCAACTAGATCCCCTTTTCTGAACATTACTTTGAGAAGAATAGCAAGTTACACCCCACCACCTCCCTGGTTGTTTCTCGGGATGGATGTGTATGATACGCATTTTCAGAAAAGGAGAGTGATGTAACAGGACTCTGTATGCTTTGATTTAGACTCAGGCTGTGACTCTGTGACTGATACAGAAACAGAAGACGAGAAGAGCCCAGTTTACTCCCACAGACTTGCCATGAGTGAAGAACATGGATCATCCAAGAGCACTGGAGACCATCTGGTGGTGCAGCCTGACCGCATACGGTGTGGGGTACTGTATATCCACTCCTTGGGCCATGTTCTCACTGTAGGCTGGTGCAACCTGTTACAGTACTCTGTAATGGATAGCTCTATGGGCCTGGGAATTAATCCCTAATTCTTTCTCTGACACCTTCCCTCTCAGACCCCTGTCCTCAGTGTCTCTGTTTCATGAGCTTGGTTCCCTAGGCCCAGAAATAGCTTGGCAACATGCAGTGCCTAGTGTTATCTAGGCTGCAATATCGCTTATTGTCAGGTAGTTTCATTAACATAGCTGCTTGTCTTATGTGCTTTGAGGCAGGTTCACACTCTTGACTTCCTATCTTCCATTGTGGTGACATTTAGGGGTGGTAAGGGGAGTAAAGTAATTGCAATGAACCAATTAACTCCACAGCTAGATACAGTCTAATATGACAATTCTGGTACATGTCCTGCAAGTGACTCCAAAGAGCTTGGATCATGGCTTCCTGTCTGAAAAACAGCATTTCTTAGTATAGCATCCCCTCAGAGGGGAAAAGTCTAAGCTTATTCCTTTGTTCTGTTTAGAATGGGGCTGTGTTGCTTGAGGGAAGAGACAGATGGAGTTGAAACTAAGTCATTTTATAAATCTAGCTCTAATCAGTTTATAAATCTAGCTGATAAATCTGTAGTTTTATCAACTTAATGCATGTATGTATGCTGGTGCAGGCTGTAACAGAAGCTACCTGCCCAGTTACTCCATGACCGGAAGAATCTCCTGAAAACTCTTCAGGACCATGAAAACGACAGATGATAATTTCTGTGTTAGTTGCAGTGGCAGGAAAATCCCTAGAAAAGGGAATGAACAAAATAAGTGTACTTATGTTGTGAACATGCATGTTGTAATGCCTTTTCTCTTAGGTGCGGACAACAGTTTATATTATCATGAAATGCAAGCTTGATGGTGAAGTGAAAACTGAAGTTGAATTCTTTCCAGAGAATGCGTCGTCTGTGCGTGTGCTGGCTGAGATGGAGAACGAGTACACAATCTCTGTGGAGGCTCCAAGTAAGCTGGGCTGAGATACTCCCCCACCACAAATTGCTTCCTTTCTATCTCAATCTGTCTGACCTGAGAAGTGCCAGAGAGATAAAGGTAAAGGTTGCAGTGCAGGAAATCTTGAACTTGCATTCTCATCTTTTGTGATGAGGTACCGAGATAGACTGCTGCTTGGGGACTCTGTTTTCCCCTCAGCAGCATCAGGGTTGCAGTGTGGAAACACCTTACCGGGAGTTCTGAGAGCAGATTGCAGCTTATAAAGCGCTTTGAACTTAAATGTGTGTTAAAACCACCACCACATTAGCATTGGCAGGGCACCAAGAGAAGGTAAGTGCCATTGAATAATTGCACGCCTATAACAGCATGTGCTCAATGTGTGATGATCTCTCTGTGAACAGAGGCTTGCCTTTTAATTTAGATATATCATGTCACTTTAGATATTTACATTTACAAAACTTGGTTGTCTAAACTTTAGGTTCACTAAACTTTAGGGGCAAGATTTCGGAGCCTTACAGATTGATAATAGTTTCCCAGCATGACTTTATTTAGTCTACTTTGGTCTGTCCTGTTGAAGATTGGTTGTGCCAGCTCTGAGAATAGTTTAATAGTCATTATAGCAACTCCTGTAAAGTCAGTGAGGTGGATTGATTTCAAGAAGGTGACATCACCCACACAAAAATGTTCAACTTAATCTGTCTTAAATCAAGATTTGGAATTTAAACATGGACCTGGAAACTACCTTGCACTTTGAATTATAACCATGACCTTCACATTGATGGAGTCTATAACTATGTAAGCTCTTCAGTTTGTAACAGTAAAAGGAATATATATTTAAGTCCTTTAATGTGTGCCTAACAATTTTGTAATTTCCTGAGTTGTTTAACAGCCAAGCATATATACAGGGAAAGATTAATTTCAGTGGAATTCAAAATATTTGTGTTTGAAAGAGAAATTTCAGACCTATGCACACTGAACAAAGAAGATCCCAAGGTGCAGGCAGGAAATAAATCCTGACAGGGGTTGCAAAATCCCTAATGACTTCTCTCATTTCTCTTCCCTTCTTCCCCAACTCTCATATTTTATGACATGATTTAGAGACTACTCCAGAGAAAGCCAGGAGTGGAGAGATGTGAGGCTTTCTAGTTTGAGGTGGTATAATTTTAACATTAGTAGTCCAGACTACTGTTAGCAGAGGATCTGTTAGGTCACAGGTGATGTGCATTGACATAGCTATAAAGAAGGTAATTCCAAAGTACTTTCCTACCTAGTGTTCAGACCAACATCATCTCCTTTTTTTTCATGACTTCATGGTTTTGGTGTTCAGCTGGCAGTATCTCCAAACTCCTCCCTCCTATCCTCAGGGTATTTGATGCAGACTCATTCCCATTGTTTGTTCTTAATGGTGATTTATTCTCTTTCTTTTCAAAGATTTAACCTCTGGAACAGTGCTTCTGCAGATATATTCAGGGGACTTGATGGTGGGAGAAACAAGCATCATCTATCATACCGACATGGAGGAAATCAGCAGTCTGTTGGCTAATGCAGCCAACCCAGTACAGTTCATGTGCCAGGTAGTGACTCTAGCAAACAACTGCTTTGGAAACCAGCTCTTTCAGAGTCTAGACAAGTGGACATAAGCAAAAGCACTTGTCGTGAAGTAGCTTTTCTGAATGAAGAAATGCAAAGTTATTTAGGAATTTTCATGTAACCTTGACATCCCCTTTTAATGAAAGCATGGATGCTTTTTCTGTTTCTGGAGCAAATAGTTGGCTAAGGTGACTCAGGGTATCCAGCTAACACAAAAAACATGCAGTCAATCAACACTCATATTTAGACCTTGATTTCTTGAAAAGATTGAGATGACAGAGCTTGATATAACAGAAAGTACCATAATGAAATAAATTGTTTACAAATTTGTACCTAAAGGTTCTTGGAAAACATGTGAAAAGGTAGTGAGGATTCATACTAGCTGAATGCAGTAGAGTAATGTAAAATGATTTGTTTATTCTTAGCACTTACTTCTTTAAAGTCACTCCTCAGTTCTCATATTGTATTTTGCACAGTTGGGATACCTGAACCCTAATAAGAGGTAAAGCTTGCCCAAGCAAGTTCTCCAGATGTGTTGTCTTTGCTGCCTGCCTGCATGTCCCTGATCAGCCACATGTAGTGGAAGCCTACAGAGTAGTGTTGTTAGTCACCAGCATATCTGGGGCAGGGGAGACTGTCTTTCCCTTTCTTTTTAGTTGAAGCTGTGGAGCAGTTGGTACTGGGCTGTACCTCTACTTGGGGAATAGGCCTGCTTCCCAGTCTTTGGCTAAGAACTAGTCCAAAATATATACTCAAGTATACTCAAAGCAATTAAAAATAGACTAGCTCATACTTAAAGCAGGAGTGGCACTTCATTGGAACAGTTTCAGAAGTAATATTATACCTATCAGGGAAGTAGGAAGTAACAGTTTTCTGTGCTTTCAGTTGCATAAGTGAGTTTATTATTGTACTCTGTCTTGTGGAGTATATGGTTCTCATCTGCTTAGATTAATGGTACTCTGTTTCTGGACCAGGAAGCTATTCCTGTTCTTTGATTGACCTGAACATTGCTACCTTCTGTGTTTATACCTGCTGTTTTTTCATATGTGCGAAATAAAGAAACACCTAATAAATCTCACCTAAACTGAATCTCCAGACTCCTTCAAACAAAATCACTTTCCCTTTATCCCTAGGCCTTTAAAATTGTGCCATACAGCATAGAAGCACTGGACAAACTGTTGACTGAGTCACTCAAGAAGAACATTCCTGCCAGTGGCTTACATCTGTTTGGAATCAACCAACTGGAAGAAGAAGATATGACAACAAGTAAGTTGAAAGATTTTTGTTTTCTTTTTAAACTTCATCTGTATCAGTTGTTTTACCTCGGAGCACCTTAAAACTGCAGTGTGTGGCACTTGGTTGTCTCAAAAATCTTGGATCTCAGCTAGGAAGCTAAATTTCTGATGATGCCTGTAGAAGGGGAATTGCTGTTTTGGTTGGGTGAGCCTTTTTTTATTATATGCATCAGTCTCACTTCCTTGCACTGTGACAGATGCAGCTATGTAGACAGCTTCAAACACAACAAAAGGGAAAAAATGATGCTCCTCAAAATGTCTCTTTTATTTTCTCCCTTGCTCTTCTCCCAGTGCCATGTGGCATTTCTCCCCAGCCCAGTCCTTTCCCCCACCCCTATGACTCTGCTCTAAGGTGCACAGTGGGCACTCAGCAGTTGCATTGGTGTGGCACCAATGGTTGCCTTATAGCATCTGTATCCTACTGGAATGATGATCTAAGAGGTCCTTGCAAACTTGTGATCCTACATACATTAAGCTATTACAGTGCCTGATAGTCCATTCAAGGTCATAGGACTTCAGCTGGGATATGCGCTAGATACCTCAGTTAATTTGTGCAGAGTTAGTTCCATTTTGAAACTGTATATATACTTTTCAGGGCTTTCACACCTGCTTTGATCTGTGTGTTTGCTAGGAATTCTGTTTCTCACCTGCTGACTCTGTTGCTGCTAGAGAGAAGCTTAGATTCTAACAGGCTCCTGTTCTCACAGATCAGAGGGATGAGGAGTTGCCAACACTTCTTCACTTTTCTGCAAGATATGGGCTGAAGAACCTCACCGCCTTGCTCCTTACATGCCCTGGAGCACTGCAGGCCTACAGTGTAGCCAACAAATATGGCCACTATCCGAACACCATAGCAGAAAAGCATGGCTTTAAGGACCTCCGCCAATTCATTGATGAATATGTGGTAAGAGGAAGCAGCACTCCTGCGCTGTCCCGCAGCAGGTGTGGGCAGTTTCACCAAGCTTGGCACTTAATGTTGTGGGAGCAGGAGTGATGGGGTAATAAAGGGTGCAATTTGGGGTGGTAGGGTGTAGAAGACAGACATTCAGCCACACTGAAAGCTTCCAGGCTGGAGGGATGGGTACATCTCTGGAGTTGGGGAAGTTCTTGGAGCTTTTGCACAGAGAAAATAAGGTGGAAGCAGAGACTACCATGCTGGGTTTCCTTATCTATCCATCTAATGAAGTTTCTGCAGGGATGTGGTTGGTACCTGGTGTACTCTTCTAACGTCTCACCTTGCGAAAACTACAGTCTCTTCATCCTGCTTACTTTGGGGAGTAATACGGAAGGAGAATAAGCTTGGGAAGGTACAATCTGAGGTGCTCTCTGAGTAGTCATACTATAGTCTGGATTGCTTATTAGCTCATTCACAGCTGATCTGTGTGTATAGTCTGCCTGTTCCACTTGAAATCCATTTCTTCCTGAATTAGGATAGCTGTCTGTTCCCTACTTGTTCTCTCTGGTAGCCCAATTCATAATTCAGTTCTCTTTGAGTTAACCCCATCCCCAGAAGAGCACTCTGATTTTTCCAGATTATGACATGGACCTGACTCCAGGTGCACGAGGCTGTTGTTTCTGTGGGGTCCTTTGATGTGCATTGGGTTTATCCTTTCTTACAAGGATCTTATCTTTCTAACAAGCAGCTCCTTGACTTAGATCATGTGAATTCTTGAGCAGATTTTATTTGCCTTTGCTTTCTGTTGAAAAGTTGTGTGTAACTGTCCCTAACAGTTGTCTGAATGGTAGGTGATAGATCTGTCAGCCTTAGTGTGATTCTGCCAGACAATTACAGTAGTGAATTCAGGGTTCCACATTAGAGCTAAATAAAAGTAACTCCCTGTTCTGAGATCAGGAGGGCTGTAGGAACTGTAAATTGTGTTATTAAAATCTTTGCATTGGGGTAGGTGGGGGATGCTTAGGAAATCCTTCCAACCTCTTACTGCAGTACTATGCTCCTCCCATGTCCTCTCTACCAGACAGTAACAGAGCTGTGTTAACAGTAGGTCCTGTTTACTGACCATCAAGCTATCTGTGCAGCTTAGTACCAAAGCACACAAATGATTTGCACCAGTGTGTTCACTGCAAGGTAGCGAATTGAAGCACTGCTAGTATGAATATCTGAAAATCCCAGTGAACCCCTTTACCAAATTTTCTCTCTGGCAAAAGTTGCTCTGCACCTCCCATAAGCATCACAAGAGCAAGCTGCCTGGCCCATTTTAACTGTGGAGGGAAGCATGTGTAGATAGTTTTGACACACATGCCCTGTGGATTGAAGGCCCATGGAGGTGGCGGTTGTGGATGGAAGAATATCTTTTAGTACAGCAGGATAGTTAAGATGGCAGTGCTTGTGACATGGTGGGAACCTGGGGAGGAGGCTGGGATGGAGCTTTATATTTTGCTTTCTTGTGTGGTTTGGTGAAGATCTGTACCACACACACCCCCATCCTCCCCACCCCACATTGCAAATATGTGCGAAAGAGTGCTGCTGTCCTGTGAGTCAAAAGTTGCCTGTATTACATAAACAGCTGCCTGTTATGAGGTTTCCTGTTAATCTCACAGAAAAGGGTCTATGTACTCCCACTCTGGGTGTTAACGTGCTGCTGCTAATGCCAAGAAACTGAAATTGAATCTACTCCAAAGCTAAAACTTTGCTTTCTTGCAAGTCCTCCACGTGCGGCAAGCTTTCCCTCTATGGTCAGCCACATTTACTCCAGAATAGCCTTTGACAAGCATTTGTATTTTTAGGATGAGCTTTGCTTATGTTCTAGGAGTTTGCAGACATCAGGTAGGACATGAAATTGAGGTGGTGAGAGGCTGTAATGGCTATTCAGAATGTGTCAACACCAACTTGTTTCACCTTCATTGCCTATTACAACATGGATCTTGAAGGCTGGGCCCAGACAGCAGTGGGAATTTAATTCCTCTGTGAAGCCTTAGTCTTCTGTAGTGAAAATTTAATTCCTCTGAGATGCCTTAGTCTTTGGGAATGGGCTGCTTTTAGAAGGGCTTTTTTTCCCATCAGTGATGGGAGAATGAGATATCTTTTGCTTGCTTTGATTCCTCAGATCCTTTATTTAAACGAGGCTTCAATGTTTGGGTTTTTTTTCTTGCCCTCCTTCCTCTCCAGGAAACAGCAGATATGCTGAAGAGTCACATTAAAGAAGAGCTGATGCAAGGCGAGGAGGATGAGGCTGTTTATGAGTCCATGGCTCATCTGTCCACTGATCTGTTGATGAAATGTTCCTTGAATCCTGGCTCTGATGAAGAGCTTTATGAATCCATGGCTGGATTTGTCCCTGGTGCCCCAGAAGATCTTTGTATGTATATTCATAGAATCACAAAATCGTAGGATGGTGTGGGTTGGAAGGGACATCTTAAAGGTTAACTAGTCTAACCCCCCCTGCAATGAGCAGAGATCTTTTCAACTAGACCAGGTTGTTCAGAGTCCCCACCCAAGAGTCCTAAGCTGATCTGTATCTCTTATACATAGTAGTGCCTCAGTTGATTTTCAGAGTAAGGGATGATTATAGTTTTTCTGCTCTCACCACAAGGAAACCATGCTCGAATTCTGATAGTGACTGGCTGATAAAACTGCTCTAAATCTTTCTTTGATTGCCAGTGTACAAGATCAAGAGCTGTTTCCTCAGTGCATTGAGGACTCCCTGAACCCTGAGCAAGTTAATTAGCATCTGGAAGAGACCAAATTTTCTACCATGTCCTGCTTCTCCCTCCTGAGAGCCAGGGAGGTAGGAACACTGACTTACAGACACTGTTGGAAAAGAATGCTGTGTAAGATGTGATTTTACTAACAACTGGGAAAATGAAAAACAAGAGCTGAGCTTCTACCTCAATAGCTCGATAACCAAAGAAAGCGAACATCTAGAAATGTGTACTGAAGAGATTATAATTAAAAAAATCATTGTTCTAATCCACTTTGTTTATTGCTAAAAATATAGAGCTAATTCTGATAAATATGCAGATGTTTAACTTTTCACCCTGCCATTAATATTCAGTGAGGCCGATTGCAAATAATCAAGTTAAGTACCTATGTTAAGCAATTGTAAATTTGCTGTACTTGCTTATCTGCCTATTTTGTCTGATTTCATCCCACTGATATATTTTATGATTCCCATGATGAGCAGAGAATCTAGCTTATTACAGTTTAAGTACCTGCATAAGGACTTCTAGTGTTTCTGCAGCTTTTGAGTGTGCTGCCTCAGGAGAAAAGTTTTCTTACTAAAACACTTTTGCTTATAGACCATATCTGTCCTGGGTTAGTTTTCTCCTCTTTTAGATTAAAACACATGATAAAACACATTTTTGTTGATTATGGAGTCCAGAAGACATTGTTGGTTCTTTGCCTGAAATCATAAAGCCTTCTCTCTGAAGTTTTGTTTGGCTGCTGTAGCAATAGTTTTGCTACTAAACCCAGAATTTTTCTGCCTTCAGGTGGAGATAAGTAGTAAGGCCGGTTCACTCCTAAGGAGCAAAGCTGCTGTTGTTCGCAGTAATGGGGTGAGAGTTTCTAGCTGCAGTCAGTGCACATCTGAATGGAGTTGATTGACTGTGTGGTGGGGGGAAAAAAAGATAAGTCCAACTTGTCGTCTTCCACCTCTGAAATGTCCAGATCTCCCAGAAACTATGCAGGGGGATATTCCTTTCTTTCATGGGTGCAAATTAAGCTCCCTGTAATTTACTACTTTTGAACCAGACTCTGAAAAGCCTCTCTGAAAATATTCTTAGATTCATTCAGATTTAGATCAGAATTGTTTCTTGTCAAGAAAACTATTTGCCAGCCTTGCAGACTGTTGGTGGTAGAACTGTTTTAAGGGACTTTTTACTTTTTCCCTGCTGAAGATCACCACCTCCCTCAGTCTGCTGTCTCAGTTGCTTGTGTGTGTGTTCACTTGCCTGTTTCTGTCAAACAAGCCACTTTAAGTGGAACAGTTCAAGCACACAGGTTTTCCTGCCCTCACTTACTCTGACAGATCTCAGGAGGGACTTTGGCTGGTGTTTTGGATGAATACATGAAACAGAACCTGCCTGGCTGACAGGCATGGAGATGAAGAGCTAGGATAGGTTGCCATGGGATGATAAAAGTTGCACATTTAATGCCTATATCAGGCTGCTTTCCTTAAGCCTCCTCAGTTGCAAAGGCCCAGCAGGCCTTTAGGGGAAGATTATGTAAGCACAGCTACATTAGCAGGGTGGCATAGGTCTTTGGGATCAGCACCAGAAATTTCTCTGGGTTTGCATATGTGCTGCAGGCTCTGCAGGGCTAGTAGGACTAGAAATATCAAAATCCAAGATGTCCCTAAAGTAGGTACTTAGGATTCCTTCACTGAAAAGCAGAGCTGAATGACTACATTTTAAAATGTTTTCCTCATTGGTGAGATGTTGTATATGGCTTATCTGTAATAGCGAGAAATAAGGGTGTGCTTCCTGCACTCTGGAGTTTTCCTACTGTATTGCTCCTGCACACAGATCTCCATTACATTTCACTTGGGAGTCTTTTACTGAAAGTCTCTATTTTTCTTATGTAGTCTGTTAGTCTTTGCCTGAAGTGTATTTACAGCTTGTCTTGAGCAGTGCTTAAAATCTACATGTATCATAATGGGTAAGGTTAAATTGGCACAAATGCTTGACACTGAAATAGATTCTCTCAAAGTGAAGGTGTTTCAATATTATTTAGAATACCAGCACACAGGCAAACCCTCACTGAAATTAGTGGGAGTGCTGACTGATTTATAACTGCCATCACAAATAAAGGCTTCAAGCTTTTGTACTGACTTAAAGGTTTGTGAAGATGAAGAACTCCCTAGGAAATCATAATCAACGTCTACTGAGGTATTTTCTCTAGGTCAGAGTAGCCCTCATGTGAGTAGTAACGGCTGTGGAGTAGACAATACCTGGGCTATTTTAAGTGTAGCCATACTGTGGCAGCATGCCCATTTATTGTGATCAAGATGTGCTCCCATCACAGTTTTTCAGAGACTGATCAAAGGGAGGTTAGATACCACAGGGTCAATTTGTCTGGCAGGAACTGGTTTGAGAATAAGGCAATGCAGGACTGGAGCCATTATAATGAGTTAAAACTAGTAGCAAATACTTGAATACTGGAGTGTTCTGTTCTTGTATTCTTCATCCCACTTGTGACTTTTCAATGCATTTTTCTGTGTTGTTTTTTTTCTCTCTGTGTTTGATCCTGGGGAAACATTTACAGAGACAGTGCAGAAGCTGTGCAAGGGCACAGTTTTGCTTAAACTGATGCTGTGTGAGAGTTGCACACACCTGTGTTGTTAGTTGCCCCTTTAGGTTTTGAGATAAGTGATGGAAAGAAAAGAAGAAAAAAAAAAAAAAAAAAAGGAAAAGGTCTTATTCATCTACAGAACACTGCCTCCCTTTCTGCTGGTGGAGAGTGTTCTTTCTGAGGTAGGTCTTAAAGTCCTGAGCAATGTATATGATCAAGTACTCCTAACTAAATCAGTGGGAACTTACTAGCTCCTGCTGTTACCTTGTTTGCTGTCTTTTAATAATGAGATTGAATTGCCTTATTTAATTTCTTATCATTAATGTAATTGTTCCCACTTCAGAAGAGCACTTCCCTCTTACTACACTTTTCAAATACCTGTAAAGTCAAACATAATTTTCCAGAATATGCTTCAGATTGGTGCTGGTTGCAGGTAAGTGTCATTTAGCTGCGTCACACACTGTAACAGCAGCTGAATAACGAAAAGGTAGAGTTATTTCCATCATATCAATCTGATAGTATGGATTACAGCATCTTATAAAGTGCTTTGCTTTTTCTGTTTTCCTTTCACCAGCACCTCCTGCAGATTTTTGCAAAAAAGAGTATTTTGAGTAGGCTGGAGCTGTGTGCAGGAGAGGCTCTGAGAGCAAGGATTCTTGAAAGTGCTGAAAACCCGTCTGATATGTGTGAAGATTAAACTGACTGGTTTGTTTGTGTGTGTGTTGTTACCTGTTTTACTTGGGGAAAGTTACGATGTATTTCATCTGTCCAAAGTCAGTCAGTGGCAGGGGCCAAAGGCTGGTGAAACAAGTCTGTACTCTTAGCACTGTTTCCATTTCTATGAACTGTGTGGACACTCAGTTCCTAGACAGTGTGAGTTTCATGTAGAGATTTAATCCTTTATCCTAGAGAGCTTCAGCTGACTAAAATCTATTGTTCTGTAGTTTGCAGACCTCCAACACCTAAAGAGTAGATGTTAGTTCATATATAAATAAGTTGCAATGCCCTTATTCCATCATTTTGCATATCCTCCCCGTACTCCACCATTTTTATTATCTTGAAACCAAGTTTTCAACACTGTCCTCATTGTTTTTTGTTTTTTCCTTAGTTAATGCAAGAAACAGCAGCCTCTTTGTAGTCCTTGAGCAAACTGAGAGAATTGTGCACAAAAATATGACTGCTTATAAAGTTCTGAGTTGTGATTTGTGCCAACACATTGAAGCCTTTGTCTTGCATAGGCCAGGTTGGATGAGGCTTTTAGCAACCTTATCCAGTGGAAGGTGTCCCTGCTCATGGCAGGGGGGTTGGAACTAGGTGATCTTTATCCCTTCCAACCCAACCCATTCTGTGATCCATGTGTAGGAATACCTGGCATCTAGTGTTTGCAAATATTTACAAAGGGGGAAGGATGTTATTACTTCCTAAAGGGTGCTGTTGTGAAGGGTCTGTAGGTCATAACTTGTCTTCTGTATGTCTGTCTGTTCACGGATTGGTTGAGCTCCCTTCTGAAGCCTTGAACTTTTTCCAGTTAAACTCTCTGCAATTTTGGTATGTGAGATTTTAAGTCTCATCTATATGCAAGACAGGCCCATGTGCAAGAGGGTAGTGAGGTGGCAATCGTGTCTTCTAAAGAGAACTAATTAGTTGATGAATTTAACTACATTGACTATGTGATAGAAAACAAACTCTGCAGTAACCTGTTGCACTGCTAGTTTAGTAATCCTGCAGAGCACAACCAAAACTAGGAAGATTCTGTTTCCTCCACAGAGAATGAAAGGAACTTTGCACACCTGTCACATTCTGTTCTACCTCCAAATCCATAATGTAATGGTTTTCCTCTGGGCCTGTATTTGTTACAGGTTAATTTCCAAAAGCTAAATTTAAAATAATCAAGGTGGCTGCAAGGTGGAAAAATTGCTCTACAGAAAAATACAGGTCTGTAGTGATGAGCCTTTAGGATGCTCAGATGTCAAATCTATGCTTTCATGTAGTGCAGCAATACTTAAGTGAACATTATATTAGGTTGGTGGTGAGCACATTAGCTCCAGCAGCATGCAACTTGGCATGGACTGCAGAGCTCTTGAGAAGCTGCTGCTGTGTAGTTAGTCCACACAGCATGCAGTATTATTGTGGCTATGCTGGAGGTATCCCTGTGAGGTTAAAGCTAGGTTGGGTGCAGTCACAGGACTGTCAGTGAGTGCTTTGACAACTGTTGTTTAAAAGACGCCCACAACATTCTAGCAAAGCAAAATCTTGCTAGCATATTCTTAGCCCTTTCTCATGATCTCCTCAGCTTTGCAGGGAGAAAATAAGAAAGGTCAGCATATATTAAAAATACATTTATAGATAAATATTTAATATTCTCTCATGCAACCCAAACCATCAAGTTTACATAGTAAAAGATATTTCACAATATGCTTCAACAACTCACCTGTATCAATAAGCCTCAACAATTCATTTATATCACACCTAACATTTTATTTTAGTTTTAGGATTAGTTTTAGGTTTACAATGAGGTTGACCCTTTTTAAAAATCAGAATTCTTCCTGTCAAAATACCAATTTAAAGTATCTTACTGTTTACTGTAACTCCTTTCTCAATACTAAATGGTCATCTGACTCTCTAAACATCTTCCAGTCCAACTAATAACTCAGACAGCTGTTTTGACTTTTATCTAAACAAACACTATCTTCTGTGTTGTGGGCAAATTGTCCTTAATATCTTGTTTTGCCAAGTCAGAGAGTTTCCACTCAGTTTGGCATCTCAGGAGCACTATGCAGAGGCTAAAACCTTCACCTGGCCCACATACTCACTAATATAATAGTTAATCCTCAGTGCCTGCTTGAAGCCTTGTCAGAACTTCTGAATAAGCAGTTAGTCACCTTCAAGCATAACTATCAGGTAGCTGGTAAAAATTTGTGCAGAGTGTAACATAGCAACTTAGGAGTCTTCTTTGAGTCAAATGTCTTGTCAGTTGCCTGCCTTCCTCTTTGATTTTCACTATAAATGAAAGGTCCAGTCAGAAATACCACATAATTTTATTACATTCTACTACCTTGTTCCACATGTTTAAAGGCCTAATCAACAGGTTCATCTTTCTGATTTTTTTCAGATGTAGAGATGCTTCAGTCCAAACCAGACACTCCAGTTGCCACAGATGAAGTTTCTCTAACTACAAAAGACTCAATGCTCCGCAAGTTTTTAGAAGGTGAGACCTGTTTAGAGAAGAGGGATGGCCGTAGCACAGATAAAGCAATTAAATGGAATGGAAGATTTCTTCTTGATCTGTTAAGGATAGGATAGTCCACACTTTTTGACATGCACAGTTTTGTTTTAGTGGGTACAAACAAGGCACAATAGAAAAGGCAGCTTGTGAGGTGATTTCACATATGCAGTTAGTTTCTTATGAAAGAGGAGGAGAGTTTACTAGTTCCAGTCCCTGCCTACCAGTGAATGCAAGCACACAGCTGGTATCTATTCAGGAATGGCTGTCTTCAGTCCTTATCTTAGTGATGGAAATTAATTCTGTTGTCCTGATGTGGGTGCAGGCTCCCCTCATGGGCAGAGGCTGAGCATAAAGTAAAGCAGCACAAACTATTGATGAATTTTAATGTAGATGCTTTATTCAAAAGTCCATCCATTGAAAACAGCAGCCTGGAAAGAGGAAAAGAACTGCTGGTTCCCAAACCTGACCTATGCTCTTCCTCTTCAGTGCTCCCTCTGCCTTCTCTGACCAGAGCCAGACCTTAACTTTGTGCTATCCCCACTGAGCATGATTGGTTTGTCCAAGCCTTTTCCTGACTTACCAGGTTCCATGGGATACAGGCTCACTTTTCGTGGGTGACCCACCTGGAGTCAGAGCAAGATTAAGTCTGGGGTTCTTAACATCTTGTTCTGTTCTTCCTGCCATGCAGGTGCTATGGCAGTCCCATTGCATTGACTCAACCAGGTGTTACAACATCACTAAAGCAAAGTCAGTCCAGTGGTTAGGGTATTCACTTGTGATTTGGTAACCAAATAGGGAGTTAGTCTAGGAGCTCTTAATTCTTTTTGCTAGGATGCAGACAGAGGGAAACTATCTTTTAAATCAGGTATGACAGCATTTGGTGATTTTGCAGTCATGTTAGGAGTGAGAATAGAATGGAGATGATTTAGTATAATGGTAGCTGGCCTCCTTATGTAGACATGTACCCAGTTCTCTGAGACGCGTTGTCTGAAATCATATTGTCAGTTGATGGTGATTGCTTATTTCAGACAGAGGAATAATTATCTGTAGTACTTTGTAGACCACCACAAGTAGCTTTTGGAAACCAGTGCTCTGTTTGATTTGTTAACTGTTATAATGTGTTAATTAACTTGAATTAATTGAATAAACTTGAGTTTTAAAACCAGTTACGATAATTTCCACTACAGTTTCTTCACCAAAACAGATGGTACTAGCTCAGTGGCAAACACTTACATGCTACTAGATGTTAATGACTTTATCAAGTCCTGTCTTGAAGGGCTTTGGCACTTTAAGTCACTGTAAAACTGTGAAATGGCTATCTTGGTAAGAATGTGGTACATAGTGCATCTGGAGGGATCCAGTGTTTGGTGAAGTGGCAGGTTGTTTTTCTTACAAGCTCTACTCTGTTGCAGGTGGCAGCATGGATGCGCCAGACTCAGAAGAAGGAGTTTGCCAGCAGTATGGTGAAGATGTATACTACTCAGTGGAACAAGATACTTTTCCACAGGAAATGGCTAGCAGACCTCCAGTTCCTGTTCCAAGACCAGAATCCAGCTCTCCACAGCCGGACAATGAGTTATACATCTCCAAAAGTGAGTTGGGTACCAGGACCTAAACTGTAGACTAGTCAACTGTAGAATGGCCTTGATATGGGCTCCAGCTGCTGAATAAATGCCAAGAATATCTACACATTTTTGAGACCCCTGGATTACTTGGCTCTGAAGCTGAATTACCTTTGGGATCCAATTTCAGATCTGTTCTTCATTTTCCACCTACCCTGAAAATGTGGGGATATTGTATCATGACCTCTTGGCCTGAGCTTGCTGTTAATGAAAGCAGTAGGATGACAGATCACCCCCAAATGGTATAAACAATTTCAACTAGGAAAGATCCTGATATTATAAGGACACAATCAAGCTAGTAAATTGACACATTACAGTTCTGTAATGATATAATTGATTCAGTAGCATTTGCATAGGACATGATTCTATACCTCACTACCTCCCTTTGAGGTGGGGTTTAATTAAAATTGAAGAAAATTGTGTCTCTTATTTCCAAAACTGCTAGCAAACTCTTGATCATATTTCACAAACATTCTAACAAGAACTACAGTAACATGTAGGAGAGTAATATCAGTGACTCCTCCTTCCCCCCATGACAGGGCTGTGGAGAAAGCATGTCCAGATTTCTCTTAGATGTGGCTGAGCTAAATTCTTCGAGGTCAATAGAAGAGGATCTACTGTACAACTCCATATCTTGTTTTCTTCAGTGGACTTAGTAGGGTAACAGAAGCTATAATGCAGTGCAGAATTGTGTATGCTTCCCATATTCATCATTGCTATTTCTGTCTTCATGAGATGCATTTTTAGTATCTTATGAGTGTTTGTTTTACAGTTTTTGCCCAGAAAGCTCAAAGACCTGAGAATCTCTATGTCCCTAGAGGAAAGGTTAAGAAAGGTAAGTCAGAAGCTCACCCTGAAGATCTTCCCTGTAATCCAAAAGAAAAACTGTTGAGGTAGCTTCATTTGTGTGAAATGTGACAGAGTAGTCTGTTTTGCAAGGCTCTGAGGATAATAGTCCTATATGAGTGGCCCAACCTTTCTGACCTTTTATAACAGCAGAGTGTGGAGGGGGTACCCTTTTGTCACATACTGTACATAGCCCCTGTCTTGGAGTTTATCCTCCATCAGGTTCATGATGATCATTGAAGTCCTTTTTCATGTTGTTACCCATATTATTTCATGGAGTTGATGTCCCACTTTTGATCTTCTATACATAGCCACTGCCTGTTGATCATTATTTCCTGGGATTTAACCTATAGTGAACTGCTTGCCATAGATCTGCACACTTCCAAAACTGTGCCCTTATTCCTTCACTTCTTATCCTGTTCACTGTAAGAGTACCAGGAACCACATCTGAGCTTTGATCTCATGTGTCAGGAACTCCTCTTTGTTGTAAATGAGTTGAAAAGAGTAGTTACATCAGTAGAACAGTCGGATGAGTTTTCACCTTTCTGTTTCTGGAGTTACACTGCACTGATTACCTAGGAAGAATCTAGCTTTGTGACTGCCAAGGTGAAAGCTCTATTTTGTGGATTGCTAAGGAGAGAGATTTTTGCAGTGAGGAAGCAGAGCACTTTAAGGAGTACATTTTGTACTGGTCACTTAAATAACAGTTTTAAGAACAGAGATTATCCCTGCACACAAGGCTACCTCTCAACGGCACTTTTAGCCCTGACAAATAGCAGGATGGCATAAGGACAAAACACTCTTCTGCTTAGGGAAACATTCAGTCTTTAATACTGATATTTTTTTTTTTTTTAATCTCTGCTTTATCAGGGGTGCTTGAGTTTCTTTGTTTTCAGTGATGAGGGCAGATGCCACAGTTTCAGTAATATTTTTGGTGTTGCTCTCTCTTCAGAGACAATAATCAGACCTGTAAGGGACCCATCTCAATCAAGCATATATGATCCATTTGCTGGAATGAAAACCCCAGGTCAGCGGCAGCTGATTACATTACAGGAGCAAGTGAAAATGGGCATACTCACTGTTGATGAAGCTGTACTTCATTTTAAGGAATGGCAACTGAACCAGAAAAAGAGATCAGAATCATTCCGGTTCCAGCAGGTACAGGCTTATTCCACTTCTTAAGAAATACAGCTGTCTCTCTAGGTATATATCACAAGCTTTTCAGTGTGGGTACACTTCTTTCCTAGTTGGAGCAGGAAGACTGCTAACAGCTCCCCAGCTAGCCGAGGTGCTGTTCCTGTGCAGCAGCAAGCAGATAGCTATTTTACAGATCTGTTTATCTGGCAGTGGTATTGTTAGTTTTTGGAGATCTGTACACTGGAATTGGGCCGAATACAGTTGGCTAAATTACCTTTCTAGAGGTCACCTAGCACGTACCTGCTGACAGGGGACTTCTGTGATGAATATTTAGCTTGTCAGTTCTCATTCATTTCAGACCAGTGAAGACTTAGTGTCACAGATGGTGTATTGGCTTTAAAGTCCTATCCTGTAGATGGTGTGATCCCACCCTGAGTGTTTGATGGCTCCAGGACTATCTGTCCTTTGCAGCTGGGCAAGGTCTAGCAACAGTCATTAGTGAAAGCACAGTGTTTGGGTGGCTTAGCTGATTTGAGGGAGTCTTTAGTTGGCAGCAGCAACATAATGACTGGTGGAACTAGCAGTCATAGTCCATTCTCAAGTTAGAGTGGGGTGCTCTCTTTAAAACCACTGCCTGCTTCTTTTGAAACCTTTTGTTCATGCTGTGGCAGTCTGCTTTCACCCTTGAGGTGCTGGTCTCCAGTGCGTGATGCTGTTTTGGGAGCTGTCAGAACAAAACCAAGTCTCAATGGAGACTTTGCTCCCAGTTACATTTCCAGGTGTACCCTCTTGCTTCAGTGGGGGTATCCTGAATTCTTGTTGAATTGTTCCTCAAAGTCTGGGATGCATGGCATCCTCCTCTGTCCTTACAGTCAGAATTACCTGTTCATTAGTACAGAAAGGACTGTGCAGTTACTTGATCACGGATCTTGTTTCCATGCCAGTGTCACAGTGGGAACAGAAAATAGAGGGAGTTCTAAACCAAATGTGCTGCTTATCTGCAACAGCCAGTGAGTCTGTGAATTTGACCTTAACATACACTATGAACATCTGAAAAAACTTGTCTTCTGAAAGTCACACACGGATTTCTGAAGGGAATAGATTAAAACCTGTTGACATGGTTTGGACTTCAGCTAGTAGTAGGCTTTGTTACAGTTTAGTTGCAAAGTGAGCTGAAATATATTGGTATTGTCAGAAAGCTGCTCATCCTCCTCCGTCCAAAACCCTGACAAAAGAATAACTTGTGACATTTCTAGGAAAATCTGAAACGGCTACGAGACAGCATAACCAGGAGACAAATGGAGAAGCAAAAGAAAGACAAAAGTGCAGGTAACAGTCTCCGATTCTGACATTCTCTGTCAATGAAGCAGCTAACAATATTAATAGGCTCTTCTGGCAGAAATGTCTCTGCGTATTGTAGTTATGTAATATTTTAATATTCACATCTGTGTGCCTGTTGGGTAAAACATAGGGAAGTTGCTTTATTCCTCAATTTCCCAGACCAAGGAAAGTATGCCCACATCTGTGGAGTGAATCTTGATTTATTCATGTACAGTTATGATTGCCCTTATGTGATTGTGTTTAACTTTGTTCTTGGGTGCAAAGCTGTCTCTCAGAGGCTATACTTTATGGCATAGACCCTTCTGAGCTGTTTGTTTTCCCTTCCAGATTTGGAAATTACCGTACCCATTCGACATCCTCATAATACTTTGGGGAAACCAGAATGTGGAATATATGAATATACCCCCAGGAAAAACGTTTTCCCACCAAAAAGGGAGTTAAAGCGAGGAGACTGGAAAACAGAAAGCACATCCAGCACAACAAGTAAGCAAACCCTGAGTGTCACCGTCTCTATAGGAAAGCTGGATGGAAAACAATTTGTCCAGCATGACTCTGAAGTCAGCTCAGGGGGCAGTACTTCTGTTCCTGAATCCCAGTACTGATACCACCACCCCAAACCCTGCATGCCTCAGGCTGCCTGTTCTCAAAACTGTAAAAGCAGTTCCAGGTACATCAGGTGGTTTGGGCATCTTGTGTTTGCATCTCTGCCGAAGGAGAACCTGAAAGCTGAAAGATTCCCTTGAGCCTTCTCAGGGAGGGCATATCACCCATATTCAGTTCTTTAAAAGTAGATGTCAGCTGCTCTCATAGAAAAAAGGATGCTCCCTTGCTGTGACTCTCAGCAGGCTGCATGCTCTTCTGGTCTAAAGGGCACAGTTATATTGCAGGCTGGGATCCATCTCTACATATCTACAGTATCAACTGCAGTAGATAAGACAGCATTTTTCATTATTAACTGTGGGACTTCTTGAGTGATTTGGACAGTCTGCACATTTTTACTATCATTGGTCTTTATTAGGTTTAATTTGTGCAGATTAAATCTCTGCGTTCTTGCTGTTACTGCAGACTGAGCAATTCTTTTAGAAACCGTTAAGATCATTTTGGTCTTCTGAAAGGAAAACTGAGTCCCAGTGAGGTTACTACCTTTGTGGCTTTTGGCAAGATATAGCTGGTACACAGCCAGAGGCAGCTCACTGAGCCCATAACTTGCATATAAGAAGTTATGAGAGCAATGTTAACGAGCCTGCAGAGTTCACTGTGTGCAGATTGGCTCTCTTTCACATGGCATGATTGTGAGAATGGACCCTAATATGCTATTTAGCACTCTTAAATGCTGCTGTATGTACCACCTGATAATGAATGTTACCTCACCAAGGCTAGGGAGGGACTGCATCTTATTGACAAAACCTCTCTAGCCTCCATTTCAGTGTATAGGTTTCTGAACATTAGTGTTCCAGTATTGCATAGCCCTACAGAATGTTATTTATTTATAACTGAAACCAGCCATAGCAGCGTAGGATAAGTTTGTAAGTTGCTGTCATCTTCAGAGATGGCATGACTGATTGCAAAAACATTCCCAACTCTTGAGTCCATGAAAGTTAAATGGGTTTGCATAAATGGTTGCTGAAGGTTGTTTGAACAAACGTGTCATTTTTAGCTGTGAAATAGCCTAGGAAGCATTCCTGTGATGAGTAAGGATTGTTGTGAGAAGATGTGGTGAATAACCTCTTAAGCAGTCAGTTACTCCAGGAATGAATGTGTGACAGTGCTCAGAGCCATCTACCTCCATGCAGTTGTTAAGGACATAGGGACTGATAATTTAAATATGGATGTTGGGTGTGTAACACTTGTGAAAATATTTACCTGACTTGACAGCTGATATTGGCACTGGATCCTTTCAATTAGATTATGGTTGTGAGTATTTAACCAGAAGCCTAGACCTAGACTGGGTAGAAGTCTGCTAGAAAGAAAGCAAAACTGGATGGTTTGGCCCTGTGGTCTGTGTTTTATGAAATGCCATTGTTTGGATCCTGAACATGTGAAAAATAACAGGGGAAATAAATTAATCTAAATAAACCTTAAATGATGTGTGAAAGAGGTAAGCATGAGGTTAGGAGACCTGAGTTAGTGAATTGCAGTTAAATCACCACGATTTAGTAATTAGTTTGTTTTCTCTTGCTTACTCCAGGTAGTGCAAGTAACCGCTCCAGCACTCGGAGCATTTTGAGTGTCAGCAGTGGGATGGAAGGTGACAGTGAGGTAAGCTCTCACCTCTGCTATATACTGGTCCGCTGTTCTTAAGTATACGGTCTTCTTTTCATGCAAAAGAAAATGAGCTCGGGGATGCGCTGCATTTGCAGAAATGGCAAAATGTAGCCACTTCTGTTGTTGAAGGTAACAAGAACCAAATTCTGGTCTGTAACCTCTTTTCTTCATTTTGTAGGACAATGAAGTCCCAGAAACAACTAGAAGCCGCAGCCCAGTTGCCCACCAAGCAGAGAGGCTGCCTTTTCCAGAAAGGCCTCCCAGAGTGCCTCCTCGAGGTGCAAGCAGGTAAGACTAAAATGCAGCTCAAACATGCGCTTTCAGTGATACAACACAGAAGCCTTGGGCAGAAAGCAAGGCAGGAAGCCAATGTGCCTTTCAACAAAATCTACCAGACTATTATCTATAAACAGACACTGTTAGGAATTGTTAAGATGCTTGTTTCTCACCTGTAATACTTGGTGGAATTGTTTTCCTAGTCGGTAACATGCCTATTGCAAAGCTGTTACTGTGGTTCACACACTGCAAGGGGCAGCGCCACTGAAACACACAACACTTGCCACAATAAGACTGACCCAGGTGGCGTAACATCCTGTCACTGGTGGAGATTTAGTACCCGATCCTCCTGAGAAGATCTTGGAAAATACAAAGTGTAGTGCCGAGGGAATTCCCTTTTGGTATCCCTTTGGACTTTTTTTTTCTTGTTACAAATTTTAGATCTCTCCAAAGCACACTTGTTTACATGTATTATTGGCCTCAAAGTAAGAACTGCACTGTTTTTATCAAAGGTGTTGAGGGGTTTTGCTTTGATTTGATAAGACCACCACAATCTTAAGTAACTTGTGAATATTCCATGAGTCCAACCAGTCTATGAAGTCCAGGCCCTAGGAGCTTATCTAAGTACAGATGCTAACAAAATTATTCAACTCCTAAAATATTAATTGTGGGTGCAGTAAGTTCTGTATGTTGTCTTGGCTCTGGCAAGAATATAGATAGAATGTACCTGTAGTTGAAAAAAAGATTTTGGATCTTTTGATGTCTTCCTATTGCTCTTCATCTTATTTTCAGGAGAAAGCTACTAAACAATCAAAGTTTTACTTCAAGTATCACATCTTCTTCCAGTAATAGAATTATTGCAGCCGAAGAGCAGAAGAAATAACTTGGACAGGAACAGGGCTCTGGCACCTTGGCATCTGCTCTGTTGCTGAATCACTGATAACATGTTTTTCTTCTTGTATGACTATTGTTTGTACATAGAATTCTTAGATATGATGTTATTGCATGCAATGTGGTGTTCCAGAACTCTACTATTTTTAATGCATATGTATTCTCTTTTTATAGGCCTGTAAGCTGTGAAAGCTTTTATCCTCCACCTGTGCCCCCAAGAGGTCGCTGAATTTCTCAACATCTGTGGAATATGAGATTTTTCTGTTTGCATGTGTGTTTGTACAGATATTTTGGGGTTGTCTTAAATTATTTATAAGTGGGAGACAAATGTTTTCTTTCCCTTCCTTCTCCCTAAAGCTCTGGTGACTTTTCCCATGACTTTCATTTTTTCATTTATTGGCCTTGCGTAACTTTTTTGCTTGGAAGAATTTTGGTGCTTTGAGAATTCAAGAAAAAGTATCACAGTTAGGAAGGAGAACACTGATGTGTGTCTTAGCAGCCCTGCGCCAACATGAAGTTTCCTTTTGACCAAGAAAGAACACGTGTCCTTTTAGAAACTAAATCCTGATAAGCATTGTTACCAAAACACTCAATATAACCAACCTACAAGGGCTTGACTGGAAAACATGCTTCAAAAACTAAAGAAAATAAGTTGTTTGAAGAACACTCATTACAGCAGGAGCAGGTGAAGGTACTGCTGTTTGGTATAACATTTTGGGTATGGACATATTGACCTTTCAGGTCAGTAGCATCTCCCTCCAGCAATCATTAAACAATGGGAGGATGAGAACTTGTCTTTATTCAAGAATGTATTTTGCATACAGCCTTGAAAATGGCTTTCCCTTTCCCCTTCACTCCCTGAAGAGGACAGACATTAACAAGGTGTTGTGTGCTGCATTTACCATGAAAATTCCAGCTGGTAAGGGACCTGCTGTATCACAAAACAACTGTACTTAAACCACTTCTGGGGAGCAGGTGGGCATGTTGTTACTTGAAATGACACGACTGGCCTCTCAAATTAGAGGAAGGAATTGGCTGCAATGCTGTGTTCTGTATCTCTTACATGTATTCACTATAGAAGCAATATAAAGGTGTTTCACTTCATGCTCTGCAACAGTATAATGAGTCTCCAATTATAAATGCACACACCTCACAAATACCAGCTGTGTAGTTGGCCTGCTGCAGTGGAAACAGGCAGCCTGGGGGCTGGACTCTTGTTGCTCTATTCTTCCTTTCTAGCAGTGTGAATCTGCAGCAGCTGTATCCAGCCTTTTTTCTGCCTGAGGGCTTAAAAACTTAAGGAGAGCTTCCTGGTTTGGCTCTCTGTGTACCAAATGTAGAAAGCATGTAAAGCAGACTTGAATGATGAAAGTGATGCCATCCAGAGGGACCTGGACATGCTTGAGAGGTGGGCCCATGTAAACCTCATGAAATTCAGCAAGGCCAAATTCAAGGGTCCTGCACATGGGACAGGGCAACACCAAGCACAAACACAGGCTGGGTGATGAGTGGATTAAGAGCAGCCCTGTGGAGGACTTGGGGTTATTAGTGGATGGAAAACTGACTATGAGCCAGCAATGTGCGCTCACAGCGCAGAAAGCCAACTGTATCCTGGGCTGCATCAAGAGAAGTGTGGCCAGCAGGTCGAGGGAGGGGATTCTCCCCCTCCACTCTGCTGTCATGAGACTCCTCCCTGCAGTACTGTGTCCAGATCTGGGGTCCCCAACATAAGAAGGACAGAGACCTGTTGAAGCAGGACAATAGGAGGGCCATGAAGATGATCAGGGGGCTGGAGCCAGCTCCCCTATGAGGACAGGCTGAGCGACTTGGGGTTGTTCAGCCTGGAGAAGGCTCCAGGGAGACAATTCTTATTGCAAGTGCTTGAAGAGGGCTACAGGAAAGATAAGAGAGGGACACTCTATCAGGGGGTGTAGTGATAGGACTAGGGGTAATGATTTTAAACTGAAAGGGGGTAGATTGGATAGAAGGAAGAAATTCTTTACAGTGAGGGTGGTGAGACGCTGGAACAGGTTGCCCAGAGCAGTTGTGGCTGCCCCCTCCCTGGCAGTGTTCAAGGCCGGGCTGGATGGGGCTTTGAGCAACCTGGTCTAGTGGACCGTGTCCCTGCCCACTGCAGAGGGGTTGAAACTAGATGATCTTTAAGGTCCCTTCCAACCCAAACAACTCTATGATTCTTTTAGGTCTTGCAATCTTCTGTGCATATCCTGGCCCTTGGGGGACAAATGTAGGGATCTGGTTGTCCATGAGTGATGCAGATGGGAATTCTGCAAGGTAACATTCAGAGTAGAGAATTCAGCATCGTCACGTACTTGGTTTTCTAGCCCTCTTGCAGCCCTGAGGGAGATACATATACATCTGTACCTGGTGATCCCTCAGGAACAGGTAGGACAAGTAAAGCTTCTGTTCCGGTACTCTTCCCTTAATCTGTAAGAGTTAGGTGTAAGGTGATAGAGCTGTAGCTCCTTTCCCTTTCAGGGTGGCAAAGCCAATGTGTGGAGGTGCAGGAATGACAGACAAACTGTGACTCAGCCAGAACTGAATGAAGGTGGAGAAGCCCCTGATGCTCTCAGGCATATAGGCATAAGCTAAATATCATCAGCTCATTAAACTCATATGGTATGACTCCACATGCAGTTTACATAGCCTCTCCTTTTGATGATAGAGGGATGCAGGTGTGTGCTGTAGGCCTATAGCTACAGAGGTGAGCTTTTTTAATCTTTTTTTTTTCTTCTTTTTTAAAGGGTTTCAGTGCCTTTCCCAAAAACTTTGGCACTAAAGGCTCTCACTGACACTTTGCTCTTTGTTCACAGTAGCCAGGGGAACGGTGAGGTGGGAGCTGCCGTCCTGTGCTGCTCTTGGAACAGAACAAAGTTCCCAGCACTATTGGTCAAATTGAAAGCAGGGAAGGGAATGTTGGTGCTGAAATGAGGAAAATGGTAGCATGGATCAGTGAAGGAAACAGGGATAAAAGAAGTAAAAGGGGAAATTCAACAGCTTGTCTTCAGCTGTTACACATGCTTTGGTTTGCACACAGCTCCCTGGTTTTGCTTAAAAGTTCCCCATCTCCTTAGTGCTGGCGGCAGCTGTGCTCCACAGCTTGGAGCTGTGATGTGGTAAGAGGGATTTATCTGCTTCCACATCTGCCAGGCATAACATAAGGTAGAAATGTAGGATGTGGGGAAAACTTTAACAAGGCAGGAAGGGAAGAGCAAAATATGAAAGTGTGTCATGCAGATTTCCTTTCACAGCTGTTGGACTGAAGCAGCTCAGGGATCCATCTTCCCTAGCTAATTTTTAATTCTTCACTCCTTGCATGCAATAGCCAAATGTCTTCTGTGGGAGGACTTTATCTGCACTGTATCTGTGCATTTACCTTTGCACAATCCTAATAACATGGCTGCAAACTGGGATTTTTATTGCTAGTACTGCAGTTGGATGATTTATATCTGAACTGTTGACAAGTAGCTCATAAGTAGCCCTTCAGTCCCTCTCCTGTTGGCAGTTTAGATACTTCTTTAGTCTGACCTGACCTGTCATACAAAAACAATGCTAGTGGGGCTCTGGTTTGGAGGAGAGCTGGGATAGGTGGAGCTGAGAAATAAATGCGGATTGTTCAGGCCCCTTCTGTACTGTGTAAGGGGGGAAATTTGAAGATGCAACTGTAGTCTCAGGAATTCTTATCTTTCTTTTTGTAAGTTCTCCTGGATTAGGTAGGGATCTCACTGACCAGCAATCACAGCAAAACTGTCACCCTATCAAGGAGAAAAGGAACAGCACCAAAATGGCTTTACTGTTAAATGTAGGTGAGCAATTGGCATGCAGGCATGACTTTCAAGTGTCTTGCAAGCCAGTAGGGATGCACCTTCATGGCCACAAAAATGGGGGTTCCACATTGGTTTCACTTAATTGCTTTAAGCCCCTTATGGCTCAGTGTATGGAGTCCTTGAATCTGTAGACTCCATTTGTGCTGGTGAGCATGTGGTGTGTATTGCTTTCACCCAAGATGAGAAATGTACTAAAACTGAAGGTGAGAAGAGACTGGAGAATAAAACTGCATGCAACCAGATTGTTTGTTACTTAAGAATATGCTTGTGGGGTACAGTGGGAATGAAGTGTGTTTCTGATGAACATTAGAGCTCAAGGACTAAGTGCATGATAAAATTGCTTGTAAAAAGTAAATGGCATGGCCACCTGTAGGGGCATCAACCAATCCACCAAGCACAGGTGGCAGCTGGCTGGCCCAGGGAAAGTGTTTGCTCTTTGTACAGCATTCCTCACAAAACCCACTGCAGCAGATGGCTCTGGCTGGCCCTGTTGTTGATTGAGAGACTTAAGTACTGAATAAACTGAAGATGCTGAAGCCTTCCCTCTCTGTCTCCCAAGGATAAGCTACTCTGTTTTGGACTGAGATGCAACAACTAGAAAGAAACATATGGTGTTATCAAAGCTGTCCAGGTTTTTTATGGTTTTTTGTGGTTTTTTTTTTTTTTTTTAACATGAAAGGGCTTTTGGATGGGTTTTGACAAGGGCGCGGCGGGCGATGGCCGCCCTGGCGGCAAGCGGGTGGCTCCCGCCCCCTGGGGCTTCCTTCTTTCCGCTGCTCGGGTTAGGGTTAGCGGGCCGAGTTTATACGGGATCAGGTCCTGCTTTCTTTAATTTGGTGTGAGCGGGACGCTCGGGTGCGGGCTGCCGACGTTTTCTGATCCGGTTTGGACATCCTTGTGCTAGCCGTTAGCGTGGCAGCCGTGCGGCCGGGTGCGGTAGCGCTGAGCTAACTACCGTGCGTCCCACCTTTTCCTGTAGTAGATAAAGGCCTCGGCAGGTATGCGTGCTTTGTTTAAAGAAGGCTGCCTTGCTGTTTAACTTGCCCTCTGCGGGAATTGTCTTTTCTTCTGGGGTGGTGTTTGCCTTTGCTCCCGAACAACAGCCCGAGCCGCTGCGCCTGAGAGCTCGCTTCTGTGAGAGGGAGTCACAGCGCGGCTCTGGGCTGAGGCCCGACAGCGGCACAGGGGGCTGTCGGATTTGGGACAGTAGCACGGACGCCTAAGAAAAACGGGTGCATAAAACACCCCTGACTTAAGCGCTCACCTATTGGTATGATAATAGTTTTTCTGAAGTGCTGGCAGTATGACCCGAAAAGAATCTCTAGGAAGTAAGTACCGAAAAGAATCTCTAGGAAGTAAGTACCATCAGTTTCTGATTTTGCGTCGGAGTGTTGTTTCCCGTGGCTTTGGGTGTGGGGGGGTGGAAGTCTGTGCGATGAGCTGAGATGTGATTTTGGAACGAGACTTTGCTGAAAACCATCCCTGTTTCCTCACAAGTGGTGTGGCTTAGAGTGTGGCTGTGATTAAACACAGTGTCTGTCTGTCAGAACTTTTGTTCTCTTGAGTAGCCTGGCTCAGTTTCTTAACATTGCTTTCTTTAGGTGTAGCATTGTAAGCTTAATAAGTGTTTTTAATAAAACAGATAAATAGCATTGATAGTTTCTGTATAAGCAATAGTTAATTAGTTGCCTAATTCCATGCATTTGTCAGACTTGAAAACTGTTTAGGATTGTCTTTATTTTTAAAAGGTAGTGGGATTTAGCAGTGCTGCAGTTAACAACAGAAAAGCTAATATTGAATACTTTCAAGGAGCAGATATTCTTTGAGCTAGCTTATGTCCCAGTTTTGTTGCTGAACCTGTGTTCTAGGATCACATTTCTGCTGAGGTGAGATGGCTTTCAGCATAGCACTGTGTTTATTTTAAAGGCTGTTTGACTTGAGGGATTTCTACTTTATCGTTTAATATTGGTAGTCTTCTGGGGAAAAGAGGATTTCATAAAGCTGTCATTGAATTTATTTATTTTTGAGCTCTCCCTTCCAGAGTGTATTCTGATGGGTTTTACGTCTTCTGAATGATTACTTAAACAATTCCCAATGGAAATCACAGAGTCTTTCTGAAGGCTTGTTGTTTCATCTAAATTACTCAGCTCTTGAAGATTATAACTCTGTCGCTTGTTTTGGTATTCTCGTTCACATGATGTCCAGTTTAGTATCGTCATGTGATTGGTTAGGAATAGATGTAGGAAGACAGTTACCTTTTTTTGG